AAAAAAAAAAAAAACATTTAGAGGTACATAAAAAGTCACAATTCTTATCAATTAATGCGCCCACAAAATGATATACTCAACAATGTGTGTATTATGTGTTGCTAAATTCATTTCCATTAAACTATTGTAAAGTCTATGATTTCATCTTACAAATATACTCAACGCTAATAGAATGGTTCACATTAGGGCGTGTTTGGAATATTTTGGCATGGAAATCCAACTTCATCTACACTAGTCTCTGTTTTGTGAATATGAAAAGTTTTTGGGACCATAAAAATAAATCATTTTCATTTAAGATGCACGACAAATTCGACCCTATAGGTAAAAGTAACTTTTTTACTGTTGAAGTATATAAATTCACACACATACTTACACAGTTGTGTGTTAATCCAACGGTTAAAAAAAAAATAAAATTGGTAAGGATAGTCCCTATATATGCAGCACTGCCTTCACTGATAAGATCATTTTTTTTTTATTTTTTTTATTTTATTTTTCCAGAGGGCACAATGTGTTATTAATGGGTAAAATTGGACTGCAGGTAAATAGGAAAAACAACAAAAAAAAAAATAATAATTTCATTTGTGCAACAATAATAATTGCCAAATGTTGAGAGTAGATGACGATATAGCATACGAATTAAAAACGAGAAAGTAAAACAACACAAGATTTACGTGGTTCGGCAATATGCCTACGTCCACGGCGGCTGAGAGATCTTTTATTATTCTCAATCGATATAAATACATCAATACACCATTTATTCATATTAAAATCCTACAAGGTATAAATTTACTTAAATACCCTGTACCGTACCGCAAGGGCTCTGCCCCCGCACCCCCGTCTATACCGCGGGGGCTCCGCCCCGCTTACTTCGCTCGGTCGCTCCGTTTCCCTCGCCACGTTCGCTCCGTTACGCTTGCAGGCATCAGCCTGCCCCATTCCTTTGTCAACATACGAACCATATCAACACCAAACAAAGACCCAAGAAAGGAGAAAATTGCTTCAGTCTCGAAATAAACAAATTCAACTAGTGGAGGTGCAAAAATGCAATTAATTAATGAGTTCACATGAAATTGTATAGACCAACACGACACAAATTCCAAGATTTGGGAAATTGGAGTCTTTGTCTTTTTCTATTACTAATTCTCGATATCAGTCCTATTAATTTGACTGCTCAATGCATTAGTTTGAAATAATAAAATAATCATAATAATATAAGTATAATAATAAACCATTTTTTCGATCCAAATGTGCACTTTGATAATGATTATTATAATTCAATGATTTAATTTTCTTAGTACTAGGAATTTTTGTGTATGGTATATTATCAAAAGGTAAACATATGAGGATATGTGGGATTGATTGTGGCTCTTTCGGTTAAAGACCGGTCGATTTATGGAATCGATTTGGAGTTCAGTTTGTTTCTACTGTATAGGTCTTCTGCAGTTTCGGTAGCGGCTTCTGGGCCTTGATTCTTTCTTGGGTCGATCGTTTCTCTGCTGGTTGGGCTACTTTCGTTTCGTCGGGGAAGAGCTCCGTTTGTTTTGTTCTGTTTGTTTTGTATGTTAGTTTATGTTGTTTTGTTCATTTTGTTCTGTGGTGTCTGTGTTGTTTTAGGCTTTGTGTTTTTTGTTTGGGCCGTTGGTCTAGTTTTCATTACTTTGTTGGGGGTTGCCATTACATAATTGCTTTATTTTCTTTAATGAATTTATTATGTTTTCTAAGGTGTGAGTTCAACTCGACTATTAATCAACTTATAATTTGATTACTTAATTGCTTCATTTTCTTTAATGGATTTATTATGTTTTCTAAGGTCAAGTTCAACTCGACTAATAACCGGAGAAGGTTTTAGTATC